TGACACTGTGTTAAGTAGTGGTGACACTGTGTGTTTAAGTAGTGGTGACACTGTGTGTTAAGTAGTGGTGACACTGGGGTTAAGTAGTGGTGACACTGTGTGTTAAGTAGTGGTGACACTGTGTGTTAAGTAGTGGTGACACTGGGGTTAAAGTAGTGGTGACACTGTGTTAAGTAGTGGTGACACTGTTGTAAGTAGTGGTGACACTGTGTTAAGTAGTGGTGACACTGTGTTAAGTAGTGGTGACACTGTGTTAAGTAGTGGTGACACTGTGTTAAGTAGTGGTGACACTGTGTTAAGTAGTGGTGACACTGTGTTAAGTAGTGGTGACACTGGTGTTAAGTAGTGGTGACACTGTGTTTAAGTAGTGGTGACACTGTGTGTTAAGTAGTGGTGACACTGTGTTAAGTAGTGGTGACACTGTGTTAAGTAGTGTGACACTGGTGTTAAGTAGTGGTGACACTGTGTTAAGTAGTGGTGACACTTTTGTTAAGTAGTGGTGCACTGTGTTAAGTAGTGGTGACACTGTGTTAAGTAGTGGTGACACTGTGTTAAGTAGTGGTCAACTGGTGTTAAGTAGTGTGTCACGTGTAATATGTGAACTGTGTACGTAAGTGGTGACACTTTGAAGTAGTGGTGACACTGTGTTAAGTAGTGTGCACTGTGTGTTAGTAGTGTGACACTGTGTTAAGTAGTGGTGTCACCGTGTTAAGTAGTGGTGACATTAGTGTTACTAAGGGTGACACGGTGTAAATAGTGGTGACACTGTGTTAAGTAGTGGGACACTTTTGAAAGTGGTGACACTGTGTTGTCAAACAGCATGTCACAATACTGATAAACAACTGAAGGACAGTGACAGGTACTGAAGCCAAACAAGTTAGATTGATGAGAGATATCTGATACTGAATGAAAGGGAATTAACTGTGATACCTGGAGCCAGAAACAGAGAAGCAGTTAACCATTTAAAACGCTGTTGTGCAACGCAGCACCAGCATGGGGGAGTCAGTTGATGCTAAAAGAGAGAGATTGTCAATTTTTTTCACTTTCAGTTTCACTTACTTTGTGAAATGCAGCTAGCTAGTTTAGCCTACTTGAAACACCCGGATCAAACAGAGGATGCTATGAAGCTATGGCCTGTCACACACAGCTGAGGTTGTTCATGAAGTCCAAGCGAAGGGAAAGTAGAGGAGGAGAGTGTGTAATGCGAGACAGGAATTTCCACTGGCTGGTTAAAGTGAACTGTGTTCACGCGTGATAAGGGGTGTATCATGCGCAATTCGTTGAAGAACGTTCCTTAAACGGACAGCCAACGGAACAAAACGGGGATAAAACATACTAATTGCCAATAGAAATTGTCGTTTGCACTTGGCTATGATACACCCTATCAGCTAGACGCAGCAACAGGTCAAGAGGATGAATGTCATGTCTGTCCATGTGTCACCGTCTGTCACTCAATCTGTCTCGACCTTGGACTACGTTTAATCTATCATTCGTAGGCTAGTTAGCAACCTCATGATATTTAGGGAAAATGTCTATCATGTAGTACCTAAACTATCCTGTTACATTGAACAGAGTGAAGAATGGAATGAAGACAGTCATCCAACATGCAGTAATAGAAATAAGGCCATGCTCATGAAAACAAAATTGTCCTCCCTCATCATAAACAGCACTGACCACCACTGATAAACACACACACTACACCACACCATTATAAAACACCACAGGGCCAACACACACCACACCATAATAAAACACCACAGGCCAACACCACACACACAACAAAAACACCACATGGCCAACACACACACCAACCATAAAACACCACAGGCCAACAACACCCACACCATAACAACACCACAGTGACAAACACACACCACACCATAATAAAACACCACAGGGCAAAACACACACCACACCATAATAAAACACCACAGGGCCAACACACACCACACCATAATAAAACACCACAGGGCCAACACACACCACACCATAATAAAACACCACAGGGCCAACACACACCACACCATAATAAACACAGCCACACACAGCCACACCAATAAACACCACAGCCAAAACACACCACACCATAACACAACACCACAGCCAACACACACACCACACCATATAACAACCCACATGCCAACACACACACACCACCATAATAAACACACCACAGGTCCAACACACACCACCATAGAAAACCACACAGCCAAACACACCACACCATACTAAACACCACAGGCCAATCACACACCCACATAATAAACACACAGGCCACACACACCAACCATAAAAACACACCCAGGGCCAAACACACCACACCATACAAACACCACAGGCCAACACACCCACCATAACTAAAAACACGCCAACCACACCACACCATACTATAAAACACCAATACAAGGCCACACCACCACACCAAGTAAAACACCACAGGCCAACACACACACACCATAATAAAACCACAGGGCCAACCACACCACACCAACTAAACCACAGGCCACACACACCACACCATACTAAAACCCACAGGCCACACACACCACACCATACTAAAACACCACAGGCCAACACAACACACCATAATAAAACACCCCAGGCCACACACCACACCAAACAAACCACAGAACAACACACACCAACCATAATAAACACCACAGGGCAACACAACACACCATAGATCAAACACCACAGGCAATCACAACACACCATAATAAAACACCACAGGGCCAACAAACCACACAATAAACACCCAGGGCCAACACACTAACACATAAGTGAAAACACCACAGGCCAAACACACACCATACTAAAACACCACAGGCCACACAACACACCATAATACAACACAGGGCCAACACACACCACACCATAATAAAACACCCCAGGGCCAACACACACCACACCATAATAAAACACCACAGGGCCAACACACACCACACCATAATAAAACACCAGGGCCAACACACACCACACCATAATAAAACACCACAGGGCCAACACACACCCACCATAAAAAACACCACAGTGGCCAACACAACACACCACTAATAAACACTCACAGCCAACACACCACACATAATAAAAACCAGGGCCAACACACACCAACCATATAACACCAGGGCAACACACACCACACCATAATAAACACCACAGGGCCAACACACACCACACCATACTAAAACACCACAGGGCCAACACACACCACACCATAATAAAACACCACAGGGCCAACACACACCACACCATAATAAAACACCACAGGGCCAACACACACCACACCATAATAAAACACCACAGGGCCAACACACACCACACCATAATAAAACACCACAGAACTCTCTGAGGGGCCACCACCAGGCCTGAATCTATCTTCATCACTAACCACGTTTCCATCCACAGTTTTTATGCCTGGACGGTGAGCTAGCTAGCAGGGCTACATGATTACAACTGGTTAGCCAGCCTGCCTGGACGGTGAGCTAGCTAGCAGGTCTACATGATTACAACTGGTTAGCCAGCCTGCCTGGACGGTGAGCTAGCTAGCAGGTCTACATGATACAACTGGTTAGCCAGCCTGCCTGGACGGTGAGCTAGCTAGCAGGACTACATGATTACAACTGGCTAGCCAGCCTGCCTGGACGGTGAGCTAGCTAGCAGGACTACATGATTACAACTGGCTAGCCAGCCTGCCTGGACGGTGAGCTAGCTAGCAGGACTACATGATTACAACTGGCTAGCCAGCCTGCCTGGACGTGAGTTAGCTAGCAGGGCTACATTATTACAACTGGCTAGCCAGCCTGCTGGACGGTGAGCTAGCTAGCAGGACTACATGATTACAAACTGGTTAGCCAGCCTGCGTGACGGTGACTAGCTAGCAGGACTACATGATTACAACTGGCTAGCCAGCCTGCCTGGACGGTGAGCTAGCTAGCAGGACTACATGATTACAACTGGCTAGCCAGCCTGCCTGGACGGTGAGCTAGCTAGCAGGACTACATGATTACAACTGGCTAGCCAGCCTGCCTGGACGGTGAGCTAGCTAGCAGGACTACATGATTACAACTGGCTAGCCAGCCTGCCTGGACGGTGAGCTAGCTAGCAGGATTTCAGAGAGGGGTCAAGCACAAACTAAAGAGCTATATCATTACACAGCTATGAGACTGTGTTCCATCAAACCTGTTGTGTACTATATCACAGTGGAATCTGACGACAAGAAGGGGACGTCTAGATGGGATTAGTGGAAAGCGGAAGGCTATGGTTAGGGATGGACAGCTGTCATTTCATTAACCCTTTAGAGGACGGTGTTTCTCATGGTGTAACAGGACTCCAGTCAATGTCCTGATAGATACTCTGGTCGTCTTAAAGATCCCGTAATTCCAGACCAGCCGATCCCCGCGAGTACGACTGGACATACGAAGCAGCAGTGGCACGGGTCTGACATGACAGGTAGCATTACATCACAACCCCATGATTTAAGACCCTGGGACATATGGTCTGTTGAGACATAGTAGAGAAATAGGCGTTGACTCTCACTCACAATCAAAAGCTGATAAAAGCTGTTTGGACAGAGAGAAATGCTTTGGGAAGGTTGTGAAAGCCTGAGGAAGAGAAGAGAAGGCAAACACTGGATGAAGATAAACTTGGAAGAAAGGAATTCACAAGGCTATCCAAGTTTGTTTTCAAGGAAGATTTAAGGAAGATTGATGTATGAATTTGAAGAATTCAGACAGTACCAAGTCAATAAACAACAGACGTGACAGACACTTTTACCAGCAGCCATGTCGTGTTGAGTCATGGTTCAGACGGAGACGAGAGAGGGAAGTCTTCCTGACACCATCTGTTCTCAGTGTAAACTCAGCTAAGCTCCATCGCTCCCCAGATAATACCCACAGTCCTCTACTGCTCCCTCCCTAAATAATACCCAGGATCATCTCTGCTCTGTTAATTGTTCCCAGAGCGTTCAGCGCTTTAATTGATTCCTCAAAAATAAACCAGCCAGCGTCACCCTGGGGGGGGGAGTGGGTGGGGCTTCTCTACCGGGCCTGACACTTCATACTGTAGGAGGGAGTGGGGCTTCTCTACCGGGCCTGACAGTTCATACTGTAGGAGGGAGTGGGGCTTCTCTACCGGGCCTGACAGTTCATACTGTAGGAGGGAGTGGGGCTTCTCTACCGGGCCTGACACTTCATACTGTAGGAGGGAGTGGGGCTTCTCTACCGGGCCTGACACTTCATACTGTAGGAGGGAGTGGGGCTTCTCTACCGGGCCTGACACTTCATACTGTAGGAGGGAGTGGGGCTTCTCTACCGGGCCTGACAGTTCATACTGTAGGAGGGAGTGGGGCTTCTCTACCGGGCCTGACAGTTCATACTGTAGGAGGGAGTGAGGCTTCTCTACCGGGCCTGACACTTCATACTGTAGGAGGGAGTGGGGCTTCTCTACCGGGCCTGACAGTTCATACTGTAGGAGGGAGTGGGGCTTCTCTACCGGGCCTGACAGTTCATACTGTAGGAGGGAGTGGGGCTTCTCTACCGGGCCTGACACTTCATACTGTAGGAGGGAGTGGGGCTTCTCTACCGGGCCTGACAGTTCATACTGTAGGAGGGAGTGGGGCTTCTCTACCGGGCCTGACAGTTCATACTGTAGGAGGGAGTGGGGCTTCTCTACCCGGGCCTGACAGTTCATACTGTAGGAGGGAGTGGGGCTTCTCTACCAGGCCTGACGTTCATACGTAGGAGGGAGTGGGGCCTTCTCTACCGGGCCTGACACTTCATACTGTAGGAGGGAGTGGGGCTTCTCTACGGGCCTGACACTTCATACTGTAGGAGGGAGTGGGCTTTTCTACCAGGGCCTGACACGTTCATACTGTAGGAGGGAGTGAGGCTTCTCTACCGGGCCTGACACTTTCATACTGTAGGAGGGAGTGGGGCTTCTCTACAAGGCCTGACAGTTCATACTGTAGGAGGGGAGTGGGGCTTCTCTACCGGGCCTGACACGTTTCATACTGTAGGAGGGAGTGGGGCTTCTCTACCGGGCCTGACACTTCATACTGTAGGAGGGAGTGGGGCTTCTCTACCGGGCCTGACAGTTCATACTGTAGGAGGGAGTGGGGCTTCTCTACCGGGCCTGACAGTTCATACTGTAGGAGGGAGTGGGGCTTCTCTACCGGGCCTGACAGTTCATACTGTAGGAGGGAGTGGAGCTTCTCTACCAGGCCTGACAGTTCAACTGTAGGAGGGCAGTGGGCTCAAAATCCACCGCCTACAGTTCATATGTGGAGGGAGTGGCTTCTCTACCAGCGAGTTCATACTGTAGGGGAGTGGGCCTTCTCTACGGACTGACAGTTCATACTGTAGAGGAGTGGTGCCTCTACCGGCCTGACAGTTCATACTGTAGATGGGAGTGGGCTTGCTTACGGGCTGACAGTCATACTGTAGGAGGGAGTGGGCTCTTACCGGCCTGACAGTTCATATGTAAGGGAGTGGGGCTTCTCACGGGCCTGAACTTCATAGTAGGGGAGTGGCCCTCTCTAACGGCCTGACAGTTCATACTGTAGGAGGGAGTGGGGCTTCTCTACCGGGCCTGACAGTTCATACTGTAGGAGGGAGTGGGGCTTCTCTACCGGGCCTGACAGTCAACTTTGGGCATGAAAAACGGTCCAACTCCACCCCTTTCTCAATTTTCAACCAAAAATGGGGTGTGCCTTTGGTGGACGGATGTGTCATTCTGGTCATGCGTGCCGCGACCGACGTAGCTAGTTTGTTACGTATGTAACTATTGTGATTGCTGAATGCATATACAGGGCAGTCTATTAAAAGCTAGCCTCTATTTCACCTGCCAGAAGAGTTAGGTCTAGGGTTTGCAGAGGAAACTCATGTTCCCATCATCATTAAAGGCCATTTTCTCATTCGAGCTCAAATCTAATCATTTTCCCAGAGCGAGAAAAACACATTCGAGCTCACAGGGGGAGTGAGGGGAGGGTTTACTGGTGACCTCTACTGATACCAAGGTCTGGGAACATCCTAAAATACAACTCCTGGACCAGTGGACATCCCCATGGACGACCGCTGGACGGAGGCCAATCAGAAGCCTGACCCACTGGACGGAGACCAATCAGAACTCTGACCGGGTGGACCGGGGCCAATCGGAATGTTCACATGGAAGGTTCCGGTCCCTGCTGACCAGCTGACCACATCCCTCTAACGCAGCAGTGATCTGTTCCATTCCGTTCCGTTTGGTTCCAACTCAACATCTGGATAAACAACAACATGTAACGGGGAAATCTGGCCCTGAGAATAGCCTTTAAGTGGTGTCTTTTCTAACAGGGAAGAGACTTTTCAGGCAGGGAAAATATTTTCTTCTAAACAGGCCAGAGTCAGGGAAAAGACAGGAGATGATTACACAACCTGATCAAAGGTCTCTCAGGAGTCCCAGCAGACAGCTTGTTGTTCTAGACCCGCATCAGATGAGACAGACGCCCCCTAACGCTTCACCTCTAGACCCACTAGCTAACGAGTGGAGACTTTACCAATACCTTAACAGATATGTCAACACAATACAGCACATCAACATGTCTGCAAAAAGAAGGAAGAGATCGTTTCAGAGAGAAGCCCAGATATGAGCGATAATAGATAATAGAGAGTGATTAGAGAGGAGGAGAGAGGAGAGAGCGAGCGGAGAGAGAGAGAGAGTGAGAGGTAGAGAGAGAGAGAGAGAGAGAGAGAGAGAGAGAGAGAGAGAGAAGAGAGAGAGAGAGAGAGAGAGAGGAGAGTAGAGGTAGAGAGAGAGAGAGAGAGAGAGAGTGAGAGGTAGAGAGAGAGAGAGAGAGAGGGAGCATGATAGAGAGATAGAGAGCGGTAGAGAGAGAGGTAGAGAGAGACAGAGAGAGAGAGAGAGAGAGAGAGTGACAGAGTGAGAGTAGAGAGAGAGCGAGAGAGAGTATTGAACTACAGAGGGACCATGTTCTACCAACTGAACTACAGCGAGGTAGATACGAGGGAGGAGAGCTATAGGAGGATTGAACTACAGAGGACCATGTTCTACCAACTGAACTACAGAGGACCATGTTCTACCAACTGAACTACAGAGGACCATGGTATTGAAGGCCGAGCTGTAGTCCATGAACAGCATCCTCACATGCAATGGTGATTACGTCATCCGTAGCTCTGTCAGGGCGGTAGGTGAATTGGAGAGGGTTGAGTGTGTCTGGGAGGGAGGAGGTGATATGGTCTTTGACTAGCCTCTCAAAGCACTTCATGATGACGGAAGTGAGAGCTACGGGTCGGTAGTCATTCAGTTCAGTTACTTTCCCTTTCTTGGTCAGGGGGTATGATAGTGGACATCTTGAAGCAGGTGGGGATAACGGCCTGAGCTAGAGAGAGATTGAAATGTCAGAGAACACAACAGCCAGCTGGTCTGCACATGCTCTGAGGGCGCTGCTAGGGATGCCATCTGGGCTGGCAGCCTTGCTAGGGTTAACACGTTTTAATGACTTCCACCGTCAGTGGAGACTGTGAGCATGTAGCCCACGTTGTCATCGGGGCTCCTCGGCAGCTCAGGGTCGTTGTGCTCCAATCTTCAGAAAAAGGTGTTTGGCTCGTCTGGTAGGGTGGTGTTGGTGACCCTGATGTGGCGGGCTTTCTTTTTGCAATCCGTGATCGTTAAGAGCCCCTGCCACATCCGACCCGCTGAGTTGCTCCTCCACTTTGTCTCTATACTCGTGTTTCACCATCTTGATCCATCTGTGTAAGTCCTATTTGTGCTGTTTAACCAAACTATTGTCCCCGGTCACCTTGCCCTGTCTATAAGCAGCATCTCTCTCCTTCAGTTTCCCTACAGGGCTGCTATCAATCCACGGTTTTTGATTCGGGTACGTTTTGAAAGAGACTATCGGTATCACGTCATCTATGCATTTTTTGATGAATCCGGTGACTGAGTGGGCGTATTCATTGACGTTACCTCCAGAGGCGACCCGGAACATATTCCAGTCCACGTGATCAAAACAGTCTTGGAGCGTGAATTCTGATTGGTCGGACCAAAGCGGTACAGACCTGATCACCGGAAACTTCCCTCTTGAGTCTTTGTTTGCAGGCAGGGAGAAGCAAGATGGAGTCATGGTCGGATTTTCTGAAAGGAGGACGGGAGAGGGCCTTATACCCATGTCGAAATGGCGTGTAGCCGTGGTCAAGAGTAGAATTTCCGTGAGTTAGACAGTCGATGTGTTGGTAATAATTTGGGAGCACGGTTCTCAAATTACTTTTGTTAAAGTCCCCAGCAACAATGAACGCTGCCTCCGGGAATGCAGTCTCCAGTTTGTTCAGGGTCCAATGAAGATCTTTGAGAGTCTTTTTGGTGTCACAGCCATGGCGATAATCACAGTGAACTCTCTCTGATTTTTTTGGACCAAGTATTCCAAGTAGGCGGAGCAGAAACTTGCAGGTCCCTGTACGCTTCCCCCGTGGCACCATGTGTTTGTTGTTGGTCATAAAGCAGAGCCCACTACCCTCTTGCCAAAGAGAGCCTGCTTCCTATCCGCTCAAAGAAACGGTAAAAACGCGCTGATTGTATATAATCTCACTAAAACCCTGCCTCTCCATCGTCGTCTTCGCTTCCTACTCTCCGGTAGAACTCCCAAGCAGCTCGGCTCCTCGCCAAAGAAGCTAGTTTATTGTTCTGCTCTCAGGGAATTCATGGAGGTCGGGTGGACGGTGATTCCAGCGATTCGTATTTCCAAAAGTTCTACACGGGTGTGTGTAGTAATACACGAAACAAACTGATTACAAACATTTGAGAAAAACAAACCCAAAAAAGTAGAAACCTACAATGTTTTATCGGAGCTCGAGGCGAGGCGCCCTCTGTCGGCGCCATCTTAGCATGTTTACTGTTTGCTGATGATCTGGTGCTTCTGTCCCCAACCAAGGAGGGCCTACAGCAGCACCTAGATCTTCTGCACAGATTCTGTCAGACCTGGGCCCTGACAGTAAATCTCAGGAAGACAAAAATAATGGTGTTTCAAAAAAGATCTGGTTGCCAGGTCCACAAATACATATTCCACCTAAACACCGTTGCCCTAGAGCACACCAAAAACTATACCTACATCAGCCTAAACATCAGCGCCACAGGTAACTTCCACAAAGCTGTAAACGATCTGAGAGACAATGCAAGAAGGGCCTTCTATGTCATCAAAAGGAACATAAAATGTTATATCCCAATTAGGACCTAGCTAAAAATACTTGAATCAGTTATAGAACCCATTGCCCTTTATGGTTGTGAGGTCTGGGGTCCGCTCACCAACCAAGAATTCACAAAATGGGACAAACACCAAATTCTGCATGCAGAATTCTGCATAAACATCCTCAGTGTAAAACATAAAACACCAAATAATGCATGCAGAGCAGAATTAGGATGATTCCCGCTAATTATCAAAATCCAGAAAAGAGCAATTCAATTCTACAACCACCTAAAAGGAAGTGATTCCCAAACCTTCCATAACAAAGCCATCACCTACAGAGAGATGAACTTGGGAGAAGAGTCCCCTAAGTAAGCTTGTCCTGGGGCTCTGTTCACAAACACAAACAGACCCCACAGAGCCCCAGGACAACAACAACAACACAATTAGACCCAACCAAATCATGAGAAAACAAAAAGAGAATTACTTGACACATTGGAAAGAACAAACAAAAAAACAGAGCAAACTAGAATGCTATTTGGCCCTAAACAGAGAGTACACAGTGGCAGAATACCTGACCACTGTGACTGACCCAAACTTAAGGAAAGCTTTGACTATGTACAGACTCAGTGAGCATAGCCTTGCTATTGAGAAAGGCCGCCGTAGGCAGACCTGGCTCTCAAGAGAAGACAGGCTATGTGCACCCTGCCCACAAAATGAGGTGGAAACTGAGCTGCACTTCCTAACCTCCTGCCAAATGTATGACCATATTAGAGACACATATTTCCCTCAGATTACACAGACCCACAAAGAATTCGAAAACAAATCCAATTTGGATAAACTCCCTTATCTACTGGGTGAAATACCACAGTGTGCCATCACAGCTGCAAGATGTGTGACCTGTTGCCACAAGAAAAGGGCAACCAGTGAAGAACAAACCCATATTTATGTTGATTTATTTTACTTTAACTATTTGCACATTGTTACAACACTGTATATAGACATAATATGACACCTGAAATGTCTTTATTCTTTTGGAACTTTTGTGAGTGTAATGTT